TTGCTATGAGTCGGAAATGACTCGACGGCACTTAACAACAACAACAACATTTACAGATAAGAAAACGAGTCATATAGTAATATATAATATGCTAAAAATTACTCAATATTTATATGGATGCTTTCTTTCAAAATTAGGAATCGACTGATAAAATTTTAAGTTTCCAGTTCCTATGCCAATTATAATATTACTTCATGTAAGATCAGAACTGTAATGATTTGTATCAAATTTATTTAAACTTTATTAATGATGTTTACCTGTGTTTTATTGACTGGGCAAAAGCATTTGACTGTGTGGATCATAACAATTATGGATAACTTTGGAAAGAATGGGAATTTCAGAACACTTGATTGTGTTCATGAGGAACCTGTACATAAACAAGAGGCTGCTGTTCAAAAAGAACAAGGAAATACAGCACGTTTTAAAATCAGGAAGGTTATACATTAGAATTATTTCTTTTCACCATGGTTATTCAATCTGTATGCTGAACAAATAGTCTGAGAAACTGGACTATATGAAGGAAAATGTGGTATCAGTATTGGATAAAGACTCATTAACAACCTGACATATGCAGTTGACACAACCTTCCCTGCTGAAAGAGAAGATGGCTTGAAGCACTTACTTCTGAAGATCAAAGACTGAAGCATTCAGTAGGAATTAAAAGTCAACATAAAGAAAATAAAAATCATCACAACTGGACCAATAAGCAATATCACGATAAATGGAGAAAATTTGAAGCTGTAAGATATTTAATTTCATTTGGATCTACAATCAGCACCAATGGAAGCAGCTGTCAAGAAATTAGATATCATATTTCACAGGGAAAATCTATTTCAAAAGACCTTTTTAAAATGTTAAAGAGCAAAGATGTCACTTTAAGGACAATGACCCAACCCATTGTATTTTCAGTCGTCTCATATGCATGTGAATGTTGGACAAGGAATAAGAGAAACCCCAGAAGAAATGGTGCATTTGAATTGTGCTGTTGGTTAAGAATACTTAAAATATCATCAACTCCCAGAAGAACAAACATATCTATCCTGGAAGAGATGCAGCCAGAATGCTCCTTAATAGGGAGAATGGCCAGACTTCTTCTTACCTACTTTGGTCATGTTGTCAGAGGGACCAGTTACACTTCGTAAAGTGTAGGGTCAGAGAAAAGGGGAAGACCCTTAAGAAGATGGATTGACACAGTAGCTGCAGCAATGATGTGGTAGTTCAGTTTGTGTGTCAACTTGGCTGGGCCTGGTTGAGTGGCTGGGCAGCTGGATGTAGTATTCCCCATGATGAGACTGGTAATCAACTCCATGGTGAGATATAGTGTGAGCAGCTGAGTAGCTGCCTTAGGTAACGTGTTCTGTTTCCTGTATATAAGAAGCCTTTGGGAATGGTCTCTAGCTTATGGCATGCTTGGACCCGGCATGTAGCTGTGTCATTGCTCAGCAGCCTGCCATATTCTGCTGACCTTGGGACTTACAGTGGAATTGAATCAATGGCCTGCAATGTGGTTTGATAATATCGAGACTATGTCTTTTTACTTGTCAACCTTGGGCTTGGCAGCCTCAGCAGCCAGCAGCTGTCTGAGTGAAGAAACACTCTAGCTTCAGTGGGCCAGGAGCAGGAGGCAGAGCTAGACCACAACATTGAGGGGCTTTCACCCAGCTCTTAGAGCCTGATATTTTGAACTTGGACTTAAAGCCTTTGAACTGTAAAAGAATAAACTCCTCTTTGTTAAGGCCATCCCATTTGTGGTATATTCTTGTCAGAGCAGCACTAAGTAACCAAAACAAATGGGTTCAAGCATAGCAAAGATTGTGAGGATGGTGCATGACAGGGGAGTGTTTCATTCTGTTGTACATATTGCTGTTATTAGTCAGAATTGACTCAATGACACCTAACAGCAACAACAAATATCTCCTTGTTTGAATGGATCATATATTATTTACAATATTATAAAAAAATAATAAATTTCTGCTGAAGCACAAAAATTTTATAGACAGTCATTTTGGTGTTACCCCCTCTAACAGCACTCAGTGCAGTCCACACCCTCTATAGCCCCTATCCACACCCCATTCCAACTCATAGCTTTGGCTGAGGTGTTTTGTACTTGGCACCTGAACTCTGAGGATTAGCTGACTGAACTAGGGGCACTCAACTGTGGCCAATCCAAAGGCCAGGTAGTGATTTATAATGGTATCTTGGCTTGAAGCAACAAACTGGGGCAATCATTTGCTTTCTTGGAAACTTAAGAAACATGAAGATGGAAGCTTGTTAGCTATAGAAACTGAAGTCACAACAATGATGGTGTGTGTGCCAGCAATTGTTATCAACTAGCAGAAACTAGAGGGCAGCAAGAAACTGGTTAGGAAGTGTGGTAGTTAAGGTTATATGTCAACTTGGCTGGGCCTGGTTGCGTGGCTGGGCAGCTGGATGTAGTTATTCCCCATGGTGAGATTGATAATTAACTCCAAGGTGGAATCTACTTGAGCAGCTGAGTAGCTGCCTTAGGGATGTGGGCTGCTTCCAGTGTGTAAGAAGCAACTTTGAGGAAGGTCTCCAGCTGATGATACCCTTGAACCCTGTATGTAGCTGAGTTGTTGTTCGGCAGCCTGCCACGTTGCCCTGATGATCTTGGGACTTTTGATGGACTTGAATTAATGGCCTGTTGTGTGGTTTGGTAATATTGAGACTGTGCCTTTTCACTTGTTGAATTTGGGTTTGCCAGCCTTA